TACCTCAACTGCATCTCTTGCATTTCCTGCACTTCTGCCCTCAAGTTCCTCCCCCCAACAAAAATAAAGCCAGAACCCCCCCAGGTCCTCACATACCGCCCCAACAACCTCTGCATCCAGCGTATCATTCTCCGCCACTTCAGCCACCTACCATCTAACCCCACGACCAAAGGGATATTTCCCTCCCCATCCCTAACTATCTTTCGTAGGGACCGGTCACTCCACGACTCCCTTCTCTGCTCCACACTCCCCACTAAGCCCACATACCCAGCACCTTTCCCTGCAAGCGCAGACCCGGGGACTGTTTCATGGAGCATCTGCGCTCTGTACGTGACAAAAGACAACACCTTTTGGTTGCCCACTATTTTAACTCTCCCTCCCACTCCCTGTGTGACATGTCCATCCTGGGCCTCCTCCAGCGCCACAATGACACCACATGCAAAATGGAGGAGCAACAACCCATATTCTGCCTCAGGAGCCTACAGCCCAATGGCCTTAACATAGAATTCACCAGTTTTAAAATCTCCCCACTCCCACCCCCGTCCCGCGTCCAAACATCCCTCTCATCCCCGCCTCCTTGACCTGACACAACCTGTCCATCTTCTTCCCCACCCATCCGCCTTATCCTTCCCCCCCAACCAATCCCCACCACCCACTACCTGCAACCAACCTATCACCATTCCACCTACTTTTCCCCAGGCCCACCCCTCCTCTCTCTATTTATCTCCCAGCTCCCTCCCCATTTCTGAAGAAGGGTCCTGACCCAAAATGTCAACATTCCTGCTCCTCTGAAGCTGCCTGGCCTGCTATGGTTCTGGGTGCTGTTTTGTTTGTGATTTATGTAAATGATTTGAATGAGAATATAGAAAGCATGGTTAGTAAGTTTGCGGGTGACACCAAATTTGATGACATAATAGACAGTGAAGAAGACTTTCTAAGAATACAGAGGGATCTTGATCAATTGGGTCAATGGGCCGAAAAATGGCAGATGGAGTTCAGTTTGGATAAATGCGAGGTATTGCATTTTGGTACAATAAACAAGGGTAGGGAGTTATACAGTTAATGGTAGGGCCTTGGGTGATGTTGTTGAACAGAGGTGCAGGTGCATAATTCTTTGAAGTTTGCATCACATATAGACAGGATGGTTAAACAGACATTTGGCATGCTTGCCTTCACTGCTCAGTCTTTTGAGTATAGGAGTTGGGAAGTCATATTGAGGTTGTGCAGGACATTGTGAGGCCTCTTCTGGAGTACTGCATCCAATTCTGATTGCCCAGTTATAGGAATGATATTATTAAGCTGGAGAAGGTTCAGAAGAGATTTACCAGGATGTTACTGAGTATGGAAGGTTTGAGTTATAAAGAAAGGCTGGATAGACTGGGACTTGTTTCACTGGAGCATAGGAGGTTGAGAGGTGACCTTATAGAGGTTTATAAAATCATAAAGGGCATGGATAAGGTGAACAGACAAAGTCTTTTCCTCGAGTGCATAATTTTAAGGTGAGAGGACAAACGCTAAAAAGGAATCTGAGGAGCAACATTTTCACAGAGAGAGTGGTTCGTATGTGGAAAAAACTGTCAGTGTAAGTGGAAGATGCAGGTACAGTTACAATATTTAAGGGACATTTGGATTGATACATGAATAAGAAAGATTTGGAGGGATATGGGCCAGGTGCAGGCAAATAGAACGAGGTCAATTTGGGAAAACTTGTCAGCACCGATGAGTTGGACCAAAGGATCTGTTTCCGTGTTGTACAACTCCATGACTGTATGTCTGAGTCATCTCAGTCCCAACTCCACTTACCAGCTCTCCATAAGCTTTCAACCCATCAACTCAAATCTGCCTACCTCCTCCTTAAATTTACTCAATATCCCAGCGTCCGCCGTACAGATTCATAACCCTCTAAGAGAGGTAATTTCTCCTCATCTGTTCTAAATCTGCTATCCCCTGATCCTAAAGCTGTGACCTCTCATCCTAGATTGCTGCACATGAGGAAACTCCTCTGAGATAAACATTATCTGTAAATCTGCTTGAGCTATCTATTTTCTTTTCACTGTTTACTACCTATTCTCCTCCAGTTTCCCAAATACCATAGTTCATGGCTATCATGTCTTTGTATGTCGTCTCCTATCTTCTGACTTCAACCGTCTAACTGTACATCCCTTCAATGAGACCCAGCTCCTGCTGGCTTAATTGTCTCCTCATTCAACTGATAACCACTCAATTTTCCTTTAGCAACATGCTGGCAACAGTGATTTCACAGGAACTGCCTCTCTCCCCTTCTAAAGCACAAATCATCATCACCTTGTCCAAAAAAAAGCCTAGATAATGAGTGGCAGATCATATCAAACAACACGTCCCTTCAACTTTTTGCAACAGGCAGAGTGTTGACCGTATCCAAACAGCCCATACATGCAAACTGCAAATCAGAACATTTGATGTGATTCCTTAATTGAGCATCACACACCAAAGAATCCTTTTTGTCGTATGAATTTTACACTAACATCCAATTTAAGATTATTTGTCTGGCCTGCATTGTGATTCACTTGTGCATGCTAGAAGCCACATATATTCACATACAGGGCATTATACTTAGTAAACAGAAGAAAAAATGGCCACATGTTTGCGCCTTTTTAAACTGAACATAAACTTGGGGGATAGGCATTCCTCTTTACCAATATACCTTTACCAATCACAGCCAACTTGACAGTTTTGAATTTAAACAAAAGTTTGGCAGTTAACTGTTTCCTGATGTAATTTCGAGGACAACACCTCTACCTAACAGAGACCACTTGCCAACCAGTTAACATCCTCTTCTCATGCAATATAAATTGTTGTCTCCTTTGAGATTTGGTATTCTTGCAACTCTATCCTGATCAGTACAAGACAGAAAGCTTAGGCAGCATATTCCCTTCTTCAGAAATATTTGAGGATTGATTCATTCATCTTGCAACCACTGCCCCATTTCAAACCTTCTTTTCCTTTCTAACGTGTTGATGCTTGTTACTGCCATCCAATTCTGTGCCTGTCTCTAATGACATTTTTTTTAAAAATTGAATCCCTCTGGTCCAGCTTCTGCACTTCTCACAACTAAATGGCCTTAGCAGGTCTTGAATAACATCCTTGGTGATATGGCTCATGCTGCAGTAGATCTTCTCATTTTACACAGTCTTTTCACAGCATTCATTCACTTAGCTGTGCTATTCTTCCACAACCTATTGTGTGTATTGTCTGTCTCAGTATGACAGCTCTTGCAAGATTCCAGTTCCTATACGGATGTAATGGTCATATCTCCAGCAATGATTTCTCTTCCCTTAATCAGACCATTATACTTTAATTGCCTTTAAAATATACCTTCACCTCCTCCCCTGCTCCAAAATTGTGTATTACTTATTCAGGTAGTTTGGAAAGTTTTGCAGATACTTAGCGGAAACGATTTGAGTAGTTTCTCATGGCACAACTCGTTCCTACATCCTACCACCAGAACAGGCATTGTTGTGGGTGCTTTGTTTTTAGATAGTTCCTCGTGATCAAAGGTGAATTGCTTTTAGTCTGCTGCTGGCTAACAATGTTTTAATATGGCTAACAAGTATGCATAACCTGGAGACTCTACCACATGTGAGGCAGGTGGCATTTGAACGGTGGATCGGTTAGTTACTTAGGAAATGTGCTAATTGTGCTAAGATCTCAGGGTCGAATCTTAAAGGGATCTGAACAATGGCACGATTAATGGCAGAATCAGGTAAGAAGTCTGACAAGACAGTTCATTGCATCTTTATGCATTTCCCAAGTCGCAAGGCAAGTTTCTTGCGAGGCAGCAGCAAGTTGCCAATTAAGGGGAATTATAACTTGGTAAACACCTTATAATACCCCAATTTATGTAAATAATATTCAGGTTCTGATTTTACCAAGCGTGCTGGACAAGCTAGACATCAAGAATTCTTGACATGGAAGTCAGAGCGAGTACCTGGTGACTTCAGTTCACCATTAGCTGTGAGGGGCCTCTAAAATGCTTAGGACCAAACAGGCTTACTCCTGTTCTTATTTCTTATGGTCTTAGGGTGGAGTGCATGGTGAGCTTTTTCTGTACTCTATATTTGTTCCCGGGGTGTTTTTTTTAATGAATCAATGGATTGATCCAGTGGCTCTCAAAGCAGTTTTTATCCCAGTCATTCTTACTAGTTATCTTCTTGTGTTAAGTTCCACAAAGGACCAAGAGGCCAAAGCGTTAAACACCAGAAGCTTTATTATGGGAATATTTGCTTTATGGGCAACACGGTTAAAGTGAGCTGTTTCCTGCCCAGACTGGCTGATGATGTCATCATTATATGATGTGGTCAAACTTTTAAAACAACAGTCCACCAAATTTGCACAAATACATAACAGCTGCAACTGCAATTTTCTTTGGTTTTTGTGCACTGTAAGCTGCAGCAAAACATATTCCTAACTGAAATCATTATAGGTGGTTAGGTGATAACTTCACATTCAAAGCATTTTTTTATTGATAATTTGAAGCAGTAGTACTTTTATTATTTATCACTGTTCTTTTATTAACGTTAGAAGTTTTATTAAACTCAATGAAGTGATTCAGATTTAAAGGAAAGTTTGAGGGTCTTTGGGGAAGTAACAGAGAAGTAGGGTTAATTGAATATCTTCCAAATAGCCACCTAAAGAATAGCAATGTGCTTAAGTGCTGTAAGATAGTAAACTTTGACGTGTTATGCATCCAGAGGATGCATTATAATGAATAATAGCTAACCTAAGCATCAATAATGCTTTCAGCCTGAAATGCAAGGTCACTATTTAAGTGGTTTACACAAGGGAAGGAAATGTGTACTAATATCAATACATCATAGACAGAGTGATGAATTATGCAGGTAGCATCTACAGTAATTCCATAAGCTTATTTTTGCTGTATGTTTCTCAGTATTAGTTTTTTTTTAAATTTTGGACCCTTGGTAATAAATTTTATTAATATTTACCTTTCTTGCTTTATTTAGCAAACTTCCTAGCTGGGCTAGAGCGGTGGTACCAAGAATCTTTTATGTCACTGAAAAGGCCTGGAATTATTATCCATATACCATCACAGGTAAGATTCAGAACAACACTTTTACTTTGTAACACAGGACACTGTTTTTCTCTTTTGGAAAATTTAAGGCTACTTATATAACATTAGCATCAATTTTGAACATCTATATTACACATTTCTACTTGAAAAGAAAATAACTCCATCTTCCTACATAAATAAAAGTAAGATGCTGAAAATCTCAAATAAAAATAGAAAGTGTAGGAGATACTCAATAAATCTGACAGCAAATGTGAAGAGAGGTACTGAAAGTATTCAGCCTGGAGCTCGGTGACCAGTGGTGTTTCGCAGGGATCTGTTCTGGGACCCCTGTTCTTTATAAATGACTTAGATGAGGAAGTGGAAGGGTGGGTTAGTAAGTTTGCCGATGACACAAAGGTTGATGGAGTTGTGGACAATGCGTAGTGCTGTTGCAGGTTGCAACGGGACATTGATAGGATGCAGAGCTGGGCAAAGAAGTGGCGGATGGAATTCAACCCGGAAAAGTGTGAAGTGATTCATTTTGGAAGATCGAATTTGAATCCAAAATGCAGGGTTAATGGCAGGATTCTTGGCAGTGTGGAGGAACAGAAGGATCTTGGGGTCAACGTCCATAGATACCACAAACTTACAACCCAAGTTGGTAGGGTTGTTAAGAAGGCGTATGGTGTGTTGGCTTTCAGTGGCAGAGAAATTGAGTTTAAGAGCCATGAGGTTATGCTGCAGCTCTGTAAAACGCTGGTTAGACCAGACTTGGAATATTGTGTTCAGTTCTGGTTGCCTCATTATAGGAAGGTTGTGGAAGCTTTAGAGAGGGTGCAGAGGAGATTTACCATGATGCTGCCTGGACCGGAAGACAGGTCTTATGAGGAAAGATTGAGGGAGCTAGGGCTTTTCTCATTGGAGTGAAGAAGAATGAGAGGTGACTTCATAGAGGTGTACAAGATAATGAGAGGCATAGATAGAGTGGATACCCAGAGGCTTTTTCCCAGGGCAGAAATGACTATTACGAGGGAGCATAATTTTAAGATGATTGGAAGAAGGTATAGGGGAGATGTCAGAGGTAGGTTCTTTACACAGAGAGTGCTGGGTGCGTGGAATGCACTGCCGACAGTGGTAGTGGAGTCAGATACATTAGGGATGTTTAAGCGACTCTTGGATAGGCACAGGGATGATAGTAAAATATAGGGTATGCAGGGTAGTTTGATTTTAGAGTCGGATAATAGGTCAGCCCACCATGGTGGGCCGAAGGGCCTGGACTGTGCTGTGCTGTTCTATGTTCTATATCCTATGAATTACTGTTTTGTTAATTCTGTTCCTCTCCACAGATTTTGCTGCACCTACTAAACATTTTCATTTCTTTGTGTTTTTATTCCATATTACTTAATACTGATTTTCTATTGCTTGAAGAGCAATTAGGAATTGGAGAATGTGTTAATATTGAGCCATTGGGGAAGCAGCTAAGAGTAGTCTAAAATGAAAGAAAACCAAACAGGCAAAAGGGAATGAAGGGAATTACCTGAGCAAGGTCTACTGCACAGTAACAAGAATAAGCTGCTGGAAAGAACACCAGTGACATAAGCAATAAACCAGATATTCTGAACAAATCTGAAAAGGTTTGCAAACAGTGGTGTACTGCTTTAAAATTTCTAACATTCTTTAGTACTTCATTCTAAATCAAGGTGCAAGCTATTTTATGTTTTTGGAAGTACATTCAAATGAAGGTATGTTGTTAGGCTACCACAGAAATGAGATGGATAAAACAATTGTTATTGTTGGGTGCCATTGTATCGGTAGGCAACCAAAAAAAATTCTATTATTTCAAAACACTTTTATCAGATTATGTTAGTAAAGCATGCAGGTAGGAATTACATTGAAATAATCTAAATATTGCTACAGGAAATTGGCACCAAATAATATTTGACTTCACAACCCAAAAGCAGCAGTTGGCTAGTGATATGAAGAAATACATTTTGCAAAATTTTTGACATTAAGTTGTGTGGTACACCTCATAATGATGTGTTGAGAATCAGTTAGATAATTGAATATTAGGTAGTGTATAACTAAGATTTACAATCACTCTCAAATCCTCAGTCGTTGCTAAATTATAAGACACTTTATTTAACCCCTAGTCCTGGATGAGAAGAAATCTCTTCTAATTAAGTATTGGGAAGACCAACGTCATTGTTTTCATCTTTGCTGAACAGTCTGTTTTTTTAGTTACTGTTGCCATCCGTCTCCACCAGTCTAGGATTAAGTCAGTCTGTCCATAGTCATGGTGTCACATTAGCTCCAGAGATGAGCTTCTGACCTCAAATCACTAAAATTACCTTCTTGCACCTCCATAATCACCCAACTTAATCCCTTTCTCTGCTCATTTATGGCTAACATCCTCATACATGTCTTTGTTAACTCTAGATACAAATATTCTAATATACTCCTGACTGGTCTCCCAGATTCTACCCTCCAGAAACTTGATCATCCAAATCTCTGCTGTTTAACCTGCAGGCAAGTCTCACTCCCCTCTGCCCAATCTGTTGAGTCCACACCAGCTCTCTCAATGAGCTAGACCTTTACCAACCCTTTCCCAAAATACTGCATTTGTTTTTATTTTAAGGTCTTTATCTAATTTCCTTTAGAAAGTTACAATTGAATCTGTCTCTACCACCCTCTCAGGCAATGTGTTTCAGGTTCTGATCACTCACTGTGTAAAATATTTTTCCCATGTCATCTTGATACAACAAGCAATTACAAAGGCAATTGGAATATGGCCTTTATTGCAATTGGAGAGGAATATAAAAGCAGGGAAATTTGCTACAACTGTACAGAACACAAATGAGTTCACGTCTATACTGTATACAGTTTTGGTTTCCTTACATAGGGAGGAGTATAATTCGGAAGCAGTTCAAAGAAGGTTCTCTTGGCTGACACCTGTGATGAAGGAGTTGCCTTATGAGGAAAGGTTGAGTGCATTCAGCCAGTACGCATTGAAGTTTAAAAGCATGAGAAGTGATCATAAGACATAGCAGCAGAAGTAGGCCATGCGGACCAGGGAGCCTGCTGTGCCACTTAGTGAGATCATGGCTGATCTGATAATCCTCAATTCCACTTTACTGCCTTATCCCTAAAATCCTTGATGCCCTTACTGATTAAAAATCTATCTCAAGCTTGACTATGCTTAATGACTCAGCTTGACAACCCTCAGCAGTGAAGAATTCATAGATTCACCACCCTCTGAGAGAAGCACCTCATCTCTGTCTACAATGGGTGACCACTAACTCTGAAATTATGTGCTCTTGTCTTAGACTCAGCAACAAGGGCAAATGACCACTCTGCATCTACTTTGTCAAGCCTCCTAAAAATCTTATATGTTTCAATAAGGTCTCCTCTCCCAGCCCATGGACTGGGCTACGTTCACAACTCACTGTAATTTCTTGTGGTCTTGGGCAGAGCAGTTGCCATACAAGCAGTGATGCTTCCAGATGGTGCATACTCGTTTAGGTTGGTCACTGGTCTTATAGCAACAAACCCTTTAAAAATCGCAACACAACTAGGACGTAGCCAATACAATGTAAGATTCAGACCAATATGTATACTTCCTCCCCTCTTTAGCCTCTTGATTATTTAGTAATTTCGGAATATTACTAACGTCTTCTACAATGGAGATTGTTCCTCTGCCATTTCTTGGTTCCCCATTATTATTTCCCCAGTCTCATCTCATTGAAACATACAAGATGCTGAGGGTGCTTGACAGGGGCAAATGCTGAGAGAATAATTCCCCTCATGGAGGAATTTAGATCCTGGTGCACAGTTTAAGAATAAAGGGATCTCCTATTTAAGGCTGATAAGAGGAGGAATTTCTTAAAAGGTCATTAGTCTTTGGAATTCCCTTCCCAAAAGATCAGTGTGAACTGGGGTTATTGATAGCTGAGTTACAGGTTTTAAAACTATAAGCAAGTTGTAGCTTAAAGATAGGAGCAGGAAGGAAAGTGGAAAGGAGGCCACAATCAGATCAGCCATGATTTTCTTGAATGACGAGGGCTTTTGGGCCGAATGGACTACTTAGAGTCATAGAGTCACACAGCACAGAAACAGAGCCTTCGGTCTAACCAGTTCATGCCGAACATAATCCCAAACTAAATTAGTCCCACCTGTCTGCTCCTGGCCCATATCCCTCCAAACCTTACCTATCTTATCCAAATGTCTTTCAAACATTGTAAATGTACCCGCATCCACCACTTCCTCAGGAAGTTCATTCCACACGTGAACCACTCTCTGTGTAAAAGATTTGTCTCTCATGTCTCTTTTAAATCTCTCTCCTCTCACCTTAAAAATATATCCCCTAGCCTTGAAAACTCCATCCAAGGGAAAAGAAAACTACCATTAACCCTATCTATCCCCCTCATTATTTTATTTTCTGCGACTATATCTTATATCATATTATCTCATGGATACTCAACTTTGAGCTGGTGGATCTCTTATGAATCTGTCCCATTTAGCATGGTGGTGGTTCCACACAATACGATGGATGATGTCTTTGATGTGAAGACAGGACTTTGTCTCCATACAGTGTCGCTGGTGGTCATTCTTAGCAATACTATCGCAGGTGCATCAGCAACAGATAGCTTGGTGAGAGTAAAGCCAAGTTGTTTTTCTTTTTGCCCTCAGATTCCCCACACCTGCAGCAGAAGTCCAGTCTGGCAAATGTTTCCTTCAAGACTCAGCCGCTTGGTCATCAGCGATGCTATCGAGTCACTCTTCATGAAGGGCATTGAAGTCCTCCACCCAGATTACATTCCATGCCCTTGCTACCTTCAGGGTGTATCCTGTATGGTCGCCAACATGAAGGGGTACTGACTTGCCAACTGAGGGAGATAGCAGCCAGCAAGTGGCCTTGCCCATATTTGACCTAATGTTATGGGACTTCATAGCATTTGGAGTTAAATTTGAAGCATCTCGAGGCAGTTCACTACCTCACCCCCCCATCCCCATAAACCACTGTGCACCGTTTCTGATGAGTATGA